CAAGTCCTCCAAGGCTTCAAGGCTACAATGCCTGCTTGGCTTCAATCAAAACTTGTCGTAAGCTATGACAATCTCAAAACGTTAAATCTATTAACCACTTAAGTAACACAAGTTCAGGAAATATTATTAGAACCTCAAAAATTAACAAATATTAATTTAGAGAATCATTAAAGTATATTTTTAAATCAGAAAACTAATTTACATTTACAAAATTTTATATCTACTTCCCATCAGAGCTGGGATCCTTGATTTTATTTTTTTCTGGAATCCCTACTAATCTTATTTTCATTTATTTTTAAATAATAAAAAATTAAAAGAAAATTAATTATTTGTAAACTTGATTTCTCTTATAAAAGGCTTTGTGATTATTATTACTCTTATAGATTTTATAAATGCTCATGATAAATCCTAGAAGCATACAATATACACTAATTTATTCTATGTTGCACTATTAGCTATAACTTTTCTATCCTAGTAAAGTGTTTTCAAAGACTTATTTTGGTCAGGCCAACGGAGCTGGATTCCTCGCTAGTGGGATATGAAAGACCATCTGCTTATATTACTTTTGTTACCAATAAAAGAAAGGGTATATACAAAGACAATGTTCCATTGTCATAAAAAGTATTTGTGGATATTGATGATCTCCAAGGTATAACTATCAATCTCTACACTAAAATGACATTATAAATTTCAGACAAATGATTTGAAAAATAAACATCATCACTACTGGATGATGAAAACAAAAAACTAATTCTTTAGGATTCATGCCACCTATGTAACAGATGTCCTATCTATTCCAGCGGAGCTGGATTCCTTGCTAGTTCTATTGTGCTATTGCTACGTTTTCTTGAATACAAAGAAAAAACCTCTTACCGATAATAAACATCTTGCTGTAACGATCTACAACAGATCTATCATCTATCTATGCTATTCTACTTTTACTGAAATCTAGAGAACTTGCACTAGCTTATGAACAATGGAAATATAAATTTAGATACTAGGTCGCAACAGAAATTAAAAAAACGTGGATGTCATTAGGTGATGTGGTTGTAGAAGATGTTACTTGTAATAAAGAAGAATAAATACCTTCTAGCACTACTGTGGAGATTTGTTTGAAAACTTATGTGAGAGAAAAAAATGACTGTAGAATAGGTGAAATTGGTGATATCTGTCTACTACTGGCAATTCCTGTCATATGATTTCCTGTGTTCTTGTAACTATTTTTAGTAGAGCAGGGAGACAAAAAAAAAAAACAAAACAATAAAACAAACCATGGGTTTAATGTCACAGAATGAAAATGGTATATGTGAGTAACATTCTTGGTAAGATGGAAAACAAATGCATACATTGTAAGGCCCTTTGTTTTATGATGGAAAGTGTTTTCAATTGTTGTTGTGACAGGAGAATAACAACTGAACTATCACATCTTCTTCCATGCTTTATCCAAAGACTATTAATTTTAATATTTAAATTAATATTGGAAGTTTCAAACCAAATAATGAAAAAAATGCAGCTTATTCACAATTATATATTTTAAATACTGCATGAGTAACAGAAATAAAAATGAAAAAATAAACACAATTATAAATGAAATGAGCAACTAATGGTTGATCTTGATAAATTATTAAAAGAGATAAATCCCTATGCTAATGCATTCACAATGTTGTAGAAAATAGAGAATGAAGTGTTAAGTTCAACAAATACTCAAACCCTACTCTACCCCAGTATAGAGTAAAACCTTACTATTCATATATCATTCTAAAATTTCAGCCTTCATAACATTGTTATAAAGCCTTAATTATAAATATAAATACATGAATTAATAATCATATTTCAGATTAGCATTACCTCTATATAAAAACATATACATAAATAATGTTTATGATATATAATAGAATACTTCTTATTTTAAATGGTAATATTAAACATCATGAATAAAATATTAGGCAAAAAGGGAATTTCTAAGATAAATATGTAAAATATTAAAAGTTCTTTAAATAAAATATAACACATAAAGGTACCATATTTTACTTAGTATCATACAATTCTAAAACTTTCAGTCTGAAAATATGAAAAACTGAACTCCATAACAATGTTCATATTTTTAAAATTTACAAGATGTAGTAGTTTAAGTGAGTTTTAAATCTATATTTTTTAACAATATTATATTTTAGTGTACTAAGTAATACTTACATTATTAAGGGTAAAAATTGTAGAGTTGAATGAATCATCAAGTAATAATTTTTTTTTTATCAATTTTATAGAGATTTTAAATAAAAAAAACCAAATCTCAATCTCTAAATGACTCATCTGGCCATGAGATCCCACAATGAGCAATTCCATTTATAGAAAATCCAAAACTTCACTCAACAATCAGAGTGTTAAATGTGATATAATGTTATGAGTTATATTTATTATGTTTGGTGATAGAGTCAATTATAGAAGAGAATTTTAATATAAATATTATATTATATTTTACTATGTATGTTATAATTATGATTATGTTAAAAATTACAATTACAATTACAACTTTTTGAAATTACTAAAACATCAGGAATAAACACAATGCTCCCAGCATAGTTGGGACTTTTGCTAGTACTCCCTTATTTAAAAGTGCTATTGGCATATGGCATCTGGCATCTTTTATTCCATTTTTAGATTATTAATTAAGGATATACTTAAAAATCTGACGGTTGATAACTAAAAACTTTAAAACAACAGCTTAGATTAAAAGACATGGCATAAGGGTGATAACAAAAGCTGAAAAAGTTAGAGGAGAATGGAAAGAGGCAATACAAAGCTTGAGAGCCAAAGAAAATGTGTGCAATTGGGGTCATAACAAAGTGATATACATAGGTAAATTGTCATTCTAGATTTAACATTCCACACCTATTGCCTTGCAAAAGGTTCTATCCCACAAATAAATAAGTAGGGTATTTGAATGTTTTAAGATGTGCACCATGCAAGTAATATAATACATGGCTTTGAAAGAGGCCATGACATCTACAAAATAAATCACAAATACAAGGGAAGAGTTTGGCAATTCCACAAGTTCTATCCCTTCAACATAGTGGCATCAGCTAAGCAGTAAATCAAGATCTATGAATTGATTTTAACTTACAATCACTCCTTTGCAGCCTTGGCAGTTGTTATTTTTGAGGCTTTAAAGGTGTAAAAAGACAAATGACATAGATTACCTACCCAAGAATAAAGAGGTTCAGAGGAGTTTTCTAAGCATGACAAAGGTACACCTTTACAACTGTACTTTGAGCATACTCGGCTTGGGATGAAAAATTCATATGTTGGCTTGCATTTGCTAGTATTGAGAACCCCTGCCATATTGAGTTTGGTCCCTCAATATTTGCTAGGTGATAGTATACCATGTTTGCCAAGACACTCTCACTATCATACCCTATGTGTTGGTCCCTTTCGGTTTCATTAGCTACTTATAAAAAGTGTTTAGATTTGCTAGTGAAATATATCTATAGAATGTAGAAATTGTCTTAAACATGATGGTGGTGTTCTTGGGGTAAGCACTTAATGTGTTTTATTTGCTTGTTACCCAGCAAGATGAGTCCCCAAGGAGCACAAAGGGCACGGATCTGGCAAAGATCCCACAAAAGGTACTGATATCTTTAGCAACCACAATGGTGTTCACCTGCTTCTGGTTGTAGTTTGGAGCCACATTGACACCACAAGAAGCAGCTACCAAGTCCCCCGGAGATCCTCCATACCCTCAATCTAGTGTCATTCTTGAATGAATTTTTATGTTGAGAATATTGGATTCTCCAGCTTATGTTTTTGTTACATGCAGCTCTTCAAACTCTAGAAATAGCAATGGCAGTGCAAGACTAGTGTCAAAATGGTTCTCTGATAAAAGGTTCTGCAATAGACTCTTAACTTGGGCTTTTGTCACAGGTTGCAGTCGTCAACTCTCTTATTGATTTCTACATAAGGTGTGGGGAGCATGGAGCTTGCATGGGAGGTCCTTGACAAGATGGCAGAGACCAGTATAGTTTTGTGGACATCTATGATCATCAGCTTTTTAAGAGGATGCACATGCTTGAGCTTTTGTTTGCTGCATGAAAGCCTTGCCGCAGATGGACTGACGGGGCAAAAGAGAAGATCGTTTGTTGGACAGGAGCCGGATAATTCACTCTCAGCTCAAAAAGGCTGGACACGAGAAGAACTTGTTCGTTGAAAGCACTCAGAAGGACCTGTTTGCGAAGCTGGGCAGGTTTCGATCCTGAATTTTCTGGAAGTAAGCATGGAAGCAAGCGTTCATGAGCAGTCTCAGATGTCTATCGTTCTGCTGTTTGCTTCCAAATCTCACAAGTTCCAGATGCAAGCAGTCAAGGCCAGACTTTGCGAACAGCAAGATTTTTTAGGCAGCAAATTCTGGGGATTAGAAGACGCCATGGCTCTCCAACCGAACCCTAATCATACCTGCTACTCATGGATTTGTATATGGGGAAGGTTTGTGAGAAAGGTTGCATGGAATGTGTGAGAACACGGTGGACGCTTGCAGGGTGTTCGCACTGGTGAAGAGCTTATTTTCACAAACAGCTTAAAGAGAAAAGCGTGTGATGCAATCTTGGGTTTGTTAATTTTAAATTTCTTGCTCCCTGCCCCATCATTCAGAACTGGCTGCTAAAAATGAGCAGGCTTTCAAGAAGGTGTTAAAATGTTTTAGATGGTCCCTTAGATGAGAATTGACGTCCAAATACCTCTTTCTTTTGAAATCTCTCACACCTTGCAGCTGGAATTGCTAGGGTTTTTGAGGAAGAAGATGATGTAGGTGACACGTGGACAATGGGAGGGCAAATGGGCGTTTTTCACTTTATGGCTAGCCAAAAAAGCATGGAAAAACGAGAAATTAGGTCTGAATCTGGATTGTCTAGATGGTGTAGGGCTCATAGAAACTGCTCGCTCCAAAAAGAACAAAACGGAAGAACGAGATCAGAACACCAGCAAACGCAACTGACAAAGATCCCACACACCTAGAGCCCAAGGTCTTTGCGAGCCTGCTTGAACTCTTGCTCAGAGGCGCTGTGGTTCAATCCCAAAACGATGTGGCTTTCGATTACAGCCGACTGTGCAGCGATCACCATCCTCCTCCCAAAATCCCGCCTGCTCCAGGAACAAAAACAGGAGTCCCCATGATGAAGGTCATGCATGATGTAAACAAGTAAACATCAAACAGGAGAACACATGAATCAGGATCACACACCCACGAGGCAGCCAAAATCACAGGAACATCCTCACGAGGCATCTGCAATAAATCACAGTCAGTGCTAAGACAAACTGCAATAGTGACAAAAAAGGAACAGTCCTCCTAAATTAAGAAAAAACAACTATAGAAACCAGGCACAGTGGACAATGGCCAGCACCGACTTCTTTGCCTGAGTGAAAGGCGTGAAAAAAGAGAGAAGAGAACTCAAGATGACCAAAAAAAAAAAAAAAAAAACCATGCTAGACAATTTACCAACTCGATTCTAAGGTGTAAAAAGTTATAAAGCATTTCGCTCTCGTTATTTCCAGAGTCTTGGATGGTGTCTTCCTAACCCTGGGGCTCGTAAGGATCTCGCATTTGAGGCCCTACTAAATGCAGTATTAGAAAAACCTGGTACTGCTGATGAAATACTTTAAAGTCCTTTCTGTTTTTAGAAGTTGTACTTTTTCTGGTTACTAACACAGGACAACATCAACGCAACAGAACTGGGCTTTCCACCACTCTTGACAGAGCTAGCAAGCAACAATGATGTTAATAACAGAGAGGAGGCCTTCAAGGGCATAGTGAACATGTTTCACAAGGATTTAAAGAAAGTGACTGACTTGTGTGATGCCGATCCAGGAACTTCTGTTCCTGGATAATCTGAAGTGTGATGAGCACGGTAAGATCGCTGAAATGGAAAATGCTGCAGTGGTAACATTATCTGCATATCATGTATCAATGTGAGCCGTTGTATACGAACTGCTTTACAAATCAGGCATCTGCCTCATCTCATCGCCTCAATTAGAGCCTCTGCTGCTGTGGATACCTCCAAGAACCTCTAGACCGGTATGTTCTTTTGGATTTTGTTTTCAACGTGTTGCCAGCGTCTTCATGAAAGGCGTTAGCGCGTATTAATGATTCTTTGATTATGTTTTGCTGGTGACAAAGGAAAAATGGAAAATCCCAAAGTTTGAATTTCTTAAGCATTATTTGGTGACTGGTCGTCCATGCTTCAAAGATATTCTCTACAAGCCTAATCTATTGGAGGCACCCACTCAATCTGTATCTCTAACTCCCCACATTCCACGTTTTTCAACTTTAGCTTAAGATCTTGCAGCAAACGACCATTCTGAAGAAATATCATGCTATCACATGACAGATCATTGTCCCTTGTAGCCACCCATTTTCCAACCTGCACATTACCAAGTTCGTCACCCATTGCTTCTTGCACTTTCACAGCAGCATAAAGTGGCTGAAGGTCGACAGAGACATCACCCATCGTATCATCTTCTGAGAACGTATCTCTATCAAACACCTGCTGAAGAAAATCAATAGTTTTACTTCCGACCAAGAATGGTGCTTTTTTTGCTTACAAGTTTCAAAGGGAAGGTTGCATGAGGAACTGATAAAAGGTGTTTTTCGTCCCAGATAGGATTTAATGATGATCTTACCACGCATGTTTGTGCCTTCTGTGAACTTGCTGTAAAAAACCATGATCTCAATGTAACAAAACACATACCTGGTTTCCTAGGGTGAGAACAACATAAGGGTCACTGGTCATGAAGTCCCTCACTGTAAGGTTTATGCCTTTTATTACATGCACTCGAATCAATCCAACAAATCCCTGCAGCCCTTGCAGTTAATTTGCCTCTAGAATTGAAGCATTGAACAAACCAGAGCAGAAGAATCTTCTTGCTTTGAAAATAATGTCAATTCTCGAGAAGAGGAGGCCAAACGCATAGATGGCTTTACAAATTCTTGTCTTTCATACTTGCTTCTGAGAAAACATTGATTGTTTAAAAAATAAATATAGAAAACGGTTTTGCATCTCCTGAACCTTATGAATTTTGCTCGCTCTTGATTTGATGAATCCGGCATGGGTCTTTTGCAAGTTTTAGGAACAAAGGCCTCATATGCAGCATTTGCAGCTGCATTGCCACCAATAAACAGCATAAGCTCAACGTCTTCGTCTGTCCAGTCGTTGGAATTTAATGACATAAGCTGTTGAAGAAGGACATCAAATTGGGAAGAGAGAGTTATATACATTTACCTTTGATACAGAAGCTCCCATGCTTCGATGAATAGCATAGCATTTGTCACAGATTATAACTCCAGTGTTTGTAGAGCTGGAGAACCAACAGAAGGTGCAACAAGATGGAAAGGAAAATGACTTACACCCATTGGGGACCCTGCAAGCCGCAATCTGCACAGAACTGGTTGTCTGGTTGCAAGATAAACTTCTGAAATTTACTCATTCTTCTCTCCATTTGCTAGGGTATCAAAGATGCGGCCGTCTATATCTTCAATGAACTTCAAAAAGTCCACTTAAAGTTTTTTAGAAAACTTTATATATGACAAACTATGTCAGGACAACATCACCATACTGTATCAAATTTCTCTAGCGATTTTCTAATAAGTAGTTGTATTTTTGGGCATCCTTAACTAGGCAATGTGCTTCCTTTCTCCCTGGTTTGCCAGCAATAGAAGGTACTAGCAAGGAATCCAGCTCTGCTGGAATAGATAGGAAATCTGTTACATTGGTGACATGAATCCTTTGTACACAATGTTTTTCATATAGACATTATGGTTCTGGAGCACATCTTGTCCCTCACATTGTTGGATGGACGTTGTAATTTGTTTCTTTGATGTTCCCCTTGAAAGCACAGCATAAAGCTGACCATGGCCAAAAACTGGCCTTTGCAAGTAGAGACCCACATTTTGTAATGTTTGTCCTTAAGATTTGCAAATTGTTATGGAGAATGCAAGCCTTATTGGGAATTTTTGTCATTTGAGGATAAATGACATGTCTCCATCAGTCAGTTTTAAAGAGATTCTTGGTAGAAGGACTTTCTTTCCTTGCATACCATTATGTCGAGTTTCAGCTTCTATAACATTTGGTAGCGCCTTGGTTATAATTAGTTTAGTGCCCTTATAGAGGCCTTTTTTAGTGTTGATGTTGCACAACAACATTACAATACATCCAATTTTTATATGTAGCTTGTGTGGAGGCATTCCAGATGGTGTTATTGAGTTTAAAAATTCTATAGGATAGTCCAACATCTCTTCATCCAAATCTGTTTCTACAATGCCAATGCTTCTGTATGTTATTGTTCTGCCAATCATTCTCAAAAGGACTTGGTCATTCACTTGAAGAGAGAGATCATTTAAAGTCATTAGAATAGCTTTCTGCAATAGGTTTGGATCATTTGGTTGTATGTGTTTTTTCTATCATTTGTTCTCTGGTGGTGGATGTTAGAGGTAATTTTATAACATCCTGGTTGAATCCTTGGAGGCTAGGTAGGTTAGCATTTCCAAGGCTCGCAAGCCATCTAGGCCATTCCTTTTCTTCAGAGTTCACCCTCATGTTTGTGTGTAATGAGAACTTTACAAGTCTCCACCATATTGGTGAGGATTTCACGCTGTTTTGGACAATTTGTGTGTGACAGGTTCATTTAGAACAAGTAACATCTGTAAGAACTCTCCTCCTGTTACTAACATGATGGCACCAAAGTCTGTATCATAGTTTTTTATGTCATGCAAGACCCTCTCGACAGCTTTAAAAGTGTGAATGGTACCATGCTTATCTTGCCCCATATGAGCAGTTCAGCTCTCCTTATGACCTCAGCAAGTGCTGAGTTTTCTCACAGATCTGAGGTGATGTTTCTGTGATTGGTACCAGTAGCTTAAATGTTGAATGAGCCATTCGGCCTCCTATAAGAAGAGTACTCGCTATTTCTGTCTATGTGACTGCTAAGACTTTCATGTCCTATTTGTTTCTTTTTTGTTTTGTATTGTGTTCAAGACGTTGTTAAATATGTGAAGCTGTTCCATGTTCAGTCTGGTTTTAAATAATTCAGCTCCATCAGGCATGCATGAGCTTGTTTTGGTTGTTGTTCCGTTATCCCTTATAAAATCTGGATCTAGTAACACATAGTCAGAAAGTTTCTTGCCATATTCCTGGAGTAATATCGACATTTTATGCAATCCAAGTTGCACTGCTGTTTCATAGTTGTTGTGAATTTGTACCAAGTCTTCACACATGCCTTCCTTGAATTTATCCCATAGTTTTCTGGGATCAAGGAGCTTGCAAACACAAACATATGTTACTGAATAGATACCTTACTTTTGCAGGCATCTGAAATGTCAACGACTCTTCTAAGCGTTTTTCCCACCCTGTAAAAGTCCCATTTCTTATGCAGAAGAACAGTATGTGTCATATGCAACACTGTTTAGTACCTTTAAATCACTATAACTCATAGCACCTTTTTTGTAAAGCAAGAACATACATAGGTAGAAACGTTCAGAGTCATGTGGTGATACATAGTCCATTCTACCAACCACTTTGAATGCATGTTGGCGTGGTGTCCATATTCTGTTTTTTGAGTTCCATGTATACCACTCAGGAATCTCGTGGTACAAGAGTGTCCTTACAAATTCATCAGTCTTGTTTAGTTCAACCATTTTGTCAATTTGGTTTGACAGCCTCTTTGTAATATGATCTCTTCCTTGCCCTCATTGAAATAAATACTTTGAAGGTTTTCCAGGTAGATGTCTAGTCTCTCAATAGAATGTGATCTTCCATGCAATTCATATCCATAGATCCTCCATATTCCTTCTGATGCAGAGATATTGTGGCAGTTTTTGAAAGCCTCTATTTTGTCCTAGTCTAGTACTTGTTCAGGTGTTGAGTTCTCATCCCTTTGAAGGCGTACCTCCACACAATCATGTCCCTTGTATATGTATTTGAATATATACTTGACACTTTTCATAGTGGAACACACCTTAACATTTATGTGTGCTCTGTTGTACAGCACAACAAACCTGTTGTGGATGGGTTTGTTCTTTATTAGGATGGTATGTCCTTCTTGGCGCCTTCTACACTGACCACCGACATTCTGTGTTTCTTCACAGTAATCTCTTGGGTAGTTTGACTTACATTCACCATCCTCCTGCATGGGCTGTTTGGAAATTCAGGCCTACAAGGGCTGTGTATCATGTGGTTTTTAACCATTTCATACAATTCTAGGTTTAGTTTGGCATCTGGTATTTCAATAGTAACTATATTGTCTATGTCATCGACAGTTTTGATTTTATTATCTTTACCATGGATCACCAATATATGACAGTGTGGCAGTCCTTGTTTTTGGAATTCAATCACATAGACATAAGCATTGACTTGGCCAAATATTTCTTGTTTGTAAATGTCATTTATGAGTTCTTGTTATTTTATGTGGAACACATATGCAACCAAGTCAGTTCTGTCTGCAGTTTTTTGTCCAGGTAGAAGGTTTTCAGTGATCTCTTTCCATTTAGGATTGCAAGTGAATGTTATGAACAAATCAGGTTTCACATACTTCCTCATAAGACTCATGGGATCCTGGTAGTTCTGATTCATCTGTCATGGGCCTCCAGTGAATGAGGATGGAAGTATTATTATTTTATTATTTTAGTGCTTTAAATTCTCAAGATATCATTATTCAGCAAGCCAGGTTGTGCTGCAGCATGGAGTGTAGGTGTTCTTCAGCCACTCATAATGAGTGAGCTTCTGAACTTTGCAGGTACATGAAATGCCTCGCATACAGCAAGGAAGAAATCTCCTCCTGGGATCTCTTTGGTTTTTGGACCCTTCCAATGCTAGTGTAGCCAGCCACAGCTTAATCACAAGCCTCTTTAGTGAATGTATGTTGCCACTGCTCCATGGCTTGCAGTCTATGGAGGGATTGCCCTTGAGCTGCCACAGTTGGAAGGCAACCATTCTTGCAATAGTCTTTATTTGCAGGCATTTGCCTAAAAGCAAGCTTCCTCAAGGTAGGATCTCTCTCCATAGGACAACCTGTTTCTACCTCCAATAGCAAGAACAAGAACTTAAAGTTCTAGATTGAGATCTGAGCAATTCATTCCAAGGTAATTAATAACAAACACAAATGCAAGCTTAAGACTGCTAGATGCATGTTAAGGAACAATAGAAACACCCTAGTTATTTCACAGTGAAAGACACACATGCTGAAATGGTCGTTCAAGTTAGTCTGAACGATTTCACTCTCAGCATTTAGAGTATAGCATTTAGAGTATGATACTTCTTGGCACTTCTCTGCAGGATATTTTTTGCTAGTCTTGTTAGCCCTTGCAGTTGATGTGAACATTGCTCCAACCAAACAGCAGAAAGAAACTTAAGTTCACAAATCCTTGCCAAAACAGATGCCAAATCATATCATCATACTCATCATCATACTCATATATTTAAACAAAAGAGCCAGTATAATAATAGCATATACTGGGGATGCTTATTCTGGGCATATGCTAAAATCTAATGGTTGAGATTAAATAATGGAGAGTCATGACTTTTTGGATCATAAAAAATTTCAAATGCCTTTTAGGGTGGGGAGGAAAGCGATGGAGCATTGGTAGCAGGAAAGTACTCTCTCTCTCTCTCTCTCTCTCTCTCTCTCTCCCACCTTTGAATCATGTGCACTTCCCAAATCAATTCTCTTTTTCTGGGCAAAGTATCCAGGTATCTGCAAAACATGTATTTAATATGGGCTTGTTTCATTTCCTTTCGCACTTACCCCTGTGCATTCCCTTGCAATATTCCGAAAAACAGTGTCAAGGAATTATTTTGGCATCATCTATTATACATGAAACAATGCTTATGCTTGTGACATTTGCTCTCTTGAAATAACTGTCTCCTTGTAAATTAATGAAACATTTTGTTGGTGGAGTTCCAGAAAAGAATTCATTCATCAACTCTTTGAATAATTCTATCATGTTGCCATGGAATTTGAGCTGTCATCATATAAATTATTGTGAAGAATCCACATGCTGTATTGAACTTACTATTATCATATCAGACTCGTTGATGTTATCTATTATTGTGAGTTGACCACTGTTGTAGCCTATATCATTGATGCTCACTACAACACCTTCAACAGAACCTACAGAGTCTCGGCTTCTACATGACTCCACAAAGTTTGCAATGCTGACAGTTGGTACAGACAGACGAAGTTGTGGCACTATAAGCTATTACCTAAAAGCTTACATTTTCTTCTTAGCATAAGAGATGCTCATCATTGTGGTGGGTCAATAAAAAGAGATATGCCAGATGCACTGGGCCTGGGTTGGAACTCAAGTCATCATGTTGTTTCGCATTTCTCTAGCATGACTCCACATTCAAATATATATAGCCACAGATACCACCTACTCAAAATTATGGACATAACCATAAAGTGCATAGAAAGAAAAATAGGCAGCTAGCCTCTTCCCACTCTTTCATGCACTGTGGTCCATGCACTGTGTGCGAGTGGAATCCCGAATGGGACAGCCTTTTGCCCGATGAGCAGGCCAGGCTCAAGGCTCGGCAGTGCGTGAAATATGTTTGCCTCGACAGCTTACAGGTGCTCAACTCTGAAACTCTGGAACCGGTTGCCAAGGATGGTGTCACCATTGGTGAAGTTTGCATGCATGGGAACATGGTGTTCAAGGGGTACTTGAACAATCCAGAGGCAATGCTGGAGAGCTTTAGAGAAGGATGGTTCCACTCCGGGGACTTTGCAGTTTGGCATCCCGATGGATACATCAAGATCAAGGATCGAGAATATTATCATTTCTGGAGGGGAGGACATTAGCAGCCTGGAAGTGGAGAGCATCTTGTACAGGTAAAAGGAGAGTTTTTTCTTCTTTGTTTCTCATTAAAGTTTGCTTCTTTTTCTTTCAGGCATCCAGCAGTGTTGGAAGCTGCTGTGGTGGTGCGGCCAGATGAGCAGTGGGGCGAGTCTCCATGTGTGTTTGTTTCCCTCAAGCATGGCGTGAGAAGCAACAAGGAGGAGATACTCTCGTTCAGTTGACAGCATTTGCCAAAGTTCATGGTGCCAAAGAGTGTCGTCATTCTCGTGGCCTTGGACAAAACTGCGACTGGCAAGATCCAAAAACAGGTGCTGTGCAGCAAAGCAAGAGCTCTTGGCAGCGTCAAGAAAATCAGCAAGCTCTACAAGCCAACTATTGAACTTGTAAAGCTTGAAATCATTCACGGCCTGGAAAATCCCCAGTCTAGCTTGGCAGTCAGCTACTGTTCCATCTGTTGTAATGTACTGGAATGAAAAATAAATAAATAACATGCAAGAACCAAGAACGCAATTCATCTACCTCAAACAGTAGCTTTGTCTTATCAGCTGTCACTCTTGCATATCCAAATGCTGACCTTCAAATCAAGCTCCATGAACTAAACTGTCGACAAAAAAAATAGGAAAGGTAGACTATCATTACCATATAAAGAGCTTGAATATAGGAAACAAAGCTGCAAGCTTACGTTATGAGGGAAGTCATCCAGGCTGAATTTGGCCATGCCAACCATGGCATGAATTGGAGCTGAGTAAATTCTAGTGTCAAAGAAATGACACCCCCTAAATCCTTGATCGGGTGCTGCAGGCAGCGGCCCTGAAACACAGCACAAGTTCGCTCGTAGTTGTGAACATGCCCCCACACTGCTAAATCAACCTGTGCAAAAAAAAAAAAAAGAAAAACGACAGTTTCATTCTAGTTTTCCCTTTGAAGAGCTCGTGTTTTACCTTGTTTCTCAAGAGCAATGGTTCCACAGCTGCTACAAATTTTGGATCCGCATTTGGTAAAGTTTACAGTTGAGTGGAGTACATAGGTCGATGACTGAAAGAAAAGTAGCACACATGAGTTTACAGAATGAAAATGTGGATAAAAACAGTTGCCCTGTGAAAACTATCCATGGTGTACTGAATTTTTCGACAGATTCAAGGTCAGATTTCATCCAAGCGTACTGTAGAAGAAGGTTTTGTTGAAGTAAAGATGAAAAGAATAAGAATGCATACTTGTTCGCTGGTCGAGCTCCAGTCATGTTCTATAGAGATGACTGTGAAATGCATGGGGCCGATAGCCATCGAGTACCATATGTCTTGGACAGGCATCTGAAAATAAGTTCGATATGGGACTCCACACTTGCCACCTGAGTCTGGTGTGTTATACAAAGATCCTGAGCCTGGATAATCTCTAAAAACCACACAGATCAATCTACAAGTTTTTGTAAGACTTTGTGAGTACCTCTTGTGGTTTTCAATGGCTGTCATGTACACAGTCTTGGATGCTACTGGAACAGTGACAGAGAAATGGAGGCAAGACCCGACAGCTATGTTGTGGATAGATTTGTAAAAGAGAAAGCAAGCTATACACTTTCAGCCAGTATAGCAGAACATGTAAACAAACCTTATCAAAGAGGAGGCAGCATGCACACAGCACCATGTACGCAGCACCATTTTCTTACCAGAAGAAAATATAATTTATAACCGAAGTATACTGAAAGAGAATTCTGCATATAATCCCACACACAGGGAAAGAAGGAGAGAGGGAGAACCTTGCAGTAACCCATATATTTGCCTGCTCTTTGCATAGCATGCTTCTCCTCGCTCTCGTTCACCCTAAAAGCCACAATTAAAAATTTCTGATTTGAAAAGTTATGACCTTCTGTAATTATATCTCAGCCGTTAGATCTTGGTATATGCCCAAAATAAGCGTATGCTATTATTATACCGGCTCTTTCATTTAAATATATAAGTACTAACAGAGACCCTACCTCCATTGGGAGATATAACATACCCAAAATAAATAATACTTCTTTTCTACTTTTACAATATTAGAAATTTTTATTATAAATAAAGTTAAATTTATCTAAAATTTTCTAGTATTCAAAGAAATGTACAATAATAAAAATAGATAATAATGCATGTTGAAGAAGTAAGATAATTTTTTATCATTATTAAATTTGAATTTGATGTTTTTATTGCCTTTATAAAAAGGTGCACAACCCTAAACACATCTACAGATTTCTGCCATACTTTAAAAGCAATTAAGTTTTCACAAAACCAAAGAATTATAGACTACCAAAAAATAACAGTTTAGTTTGGAGAAATTATAATTTTAATTGCATACTGAGTTAAATTCTTTTTATCTGAACTATAATGACATTTTAAAACATACATAAATAAATCTATTTAGCTTGCTACCACATTTATATTAAACCTCATAAACTAGTAATGGAGAATGGTTCTAGATATATTAAGAAAATATAAAGTCTCAAAATCTAAGAAATGCATAATAGTTCTTTGCAACACAATAGATTGTAAGATTCTTTATAAAATTTTATATATATATGAAGCTGAAAGTTTTGTTTTATTTGAGAAAACTCTTGAATTTCAACATTTTGGGAGGTCATCCTACTCAAACCCTAAGATATTTAACCTCCCGAGTATCCTAATACCTTTAACCAATTGGAATAAAATGTGCATTTTTATTTAAAAATATTTTCCCTTTATATATAATTTTCTATATATCATCTTTCAAGTTGTTCTTTTTTGTTGCATATAATTCACCATACTTTTTTTGTAAGTTTACACCCTTATGAATGAAAGCTAATAACCATAACTCTCCTGAGACCCGTGCTCTCTTACCATAGCAAAGATCCCAACTCTGTTGGGAATATACCTTGGTTGGCAAACTTACTATTTTAAATGCATACAAGGTTAATTTTTTCAAGAATTTACTACCATCTATATTCATTGTATTGTGCATTTGTTATATCATTATGATTTATTAGTTGGTGGCACTTAAGATGGTTTGGAATATTTGTCATCTGGATGTCATGCCATAAGAGATAGCAATGAGTAGTTTATTTTAATGATAGACATAGGTATCTTGTTTACCTTTCTCCTTATATACTAAGAGGTTTATGTTCTTATATCATAGATAAACAACCTTTTGGGCTCCTCTGTGCTGTTGTAGAAATAATACTCACTATAACAAATCACGGAAGATAAGGAAACATAAAATAAAATATCAATGCACTAGTTTTACCATCCATCCAAAGATAGAAAAACTATTTCAAGAAAACTTTTACATAAGAGAAACTTTATAGATCTTCTTAAACTAATATTCTCTTTTATCTTCATTAACGTTTGTATTAAGACAAACCTGTACTAATGCTTCATGATAAAACTATGCATTCATGTCTACTGGTATCTAATATGATATAAGATATCTCATATCAAATTCATATCTTAATAATATCTAAAAAATTTGCAAAGTCTTTTATATTTTCAATCAGTCTTCTTGCTCATAATCTTACTTAAATCTATCTGCAGATTTACATGAGTTTTGTCTTTTGTCTCAATATTGACGAAATGATTTATTTTCTATAGTAATAAATATATGGTTTACATAAGTCTTTTGATCTTGCTCTAGATTTCTTCTGCATTTGTATTATCTCAATCCCTATCAAAACATAAGGAAAATATCTTCTTGGCTCAAAATGGTGAATTAAGTATTTAAAAGTATAAGATTTAATGGTTTCTAAAAAGAGCAAACCTATATATCACATTTGTGAGAAAAAAACAACTCTGCTGGGAAATATAGAAACAGTATTTTTAAAATATTTATATTAAATATTTATAAAATAAAAATATTAATTCACCTATAATACAGAACATACTTTACTAATAGATCAAGAGTGTGTAAGACATTTCTAATTTATAACATAAAAGATAACTACTATGAATTTAAAT